TTAGGACAGGTGGGCGACCATTGTCAGAGGAAAAGAAATGAGACATTTCAACCAAAAGCCACAGTCAACCTTGTTTGGATTCTCCTACAAACAAACTAAATATGAAAAGACCTTTGTGAGACAACCAAAATGGAAAAAAAGAAAAGAAAAATCCACAAATTTGATATAAGATTGTAGTAAGGAATTATTACTTTTGTTAAGCGTGATCATGGTGTTGTGAGTTTGGTAAAGTAAACAATTCCTTAAGTAGGAAATTAAAATGCCAGAGTCGTTCTAGGCAGAAATCACAGGCTACCTGGCATTTGGTTTAGAGTCATCTGTTAAACAACAACAACAACAAAAAAAACTTGGAGAATAGGGAAGAAACTAGGAAAATATAAATAATTATTGAAGCTACCTGGTGGGCAGTGGGAGTCCATTATACTGGTATTTTTACTCACGTGTGTGAAAATATTTAGAATGTGAAGTTTTGAAAGTATCTTTAAAATATATATTTTGTATTTCCTGAACATTTGGTATGTGCCAGGCACTGTTCTAAATGCTCTGTGCTTATTAACATAGAGTAGCGTGTGTTTGCAATGAATTACCTCCTGTACAGCCTGGGGGCTCAGGGCTCAACTTTTCTGTGCCCCACTTGCCTTTATCTGCACGATGGGAGAGGAGACATGAGGTAACGCGGGCAAGGTTCTCAGGCATGCTCGCAGATACTGTTATGAGCCCCGTGGAGTGGATCCTCTCTCCTCAGATGAGCACCCGTGACAGAGAAATCACGGCTGAGATCTCGTAGGCGGGGTGGAGGGATTCAATGGGCCCAAATACATAACGTGCTCAGCACGAGTTGTCCGTCAGGTGATCAGGAAATGTCAGCTGCAGGCGCTAACATTGCTGTTGGCCGAAGTGGTCCTTCCTTCTTCCAGAACGGGAAGCTGCTGGCGGAGCGGGATGGAGTCAAAAGGAGGAGTGAGGAGCTGGCCACGGAGAAGGAGGCTTTGAAGGTGCCACCCCTTCCTAGTGTCACTTCTGCCAACTTCAGCCCCTCCAGCCGAGTGAGAGCGGGGACTTCATCGAGCCGTCAGGCTCCCAGGGCTCCCGGCAGCTCAGCTGAAATCCCTCTCTGGGTGGCTGATGTCCAGAGACATCACGGGAGGTTGAGGAGTGGGGCTCGGGAGAGCTGGGTGGGCTGGGGAGGGCAGCGCCCGCTGAGGCCGGTCCCGGGAGGCCGGACAGATGGATGGACTCCTTCCTCGGCAGCGGCAGCTCTATGAGTGCGAACGCCTCATTTGCCAACGAGATGCTGTCCTCTCGGAGGTGAGGGGCCTGGGGGTGGCGAGGGGACATTTGCCTTCCATGTGCTCCTTCCTGCCCCAAGGTCTGGGAGTCCTGCCTGGGTCTTAGCCCTGGATAAGCTGGCCTGGCAAGCCTGTCCTTGCAGGACCCAGAAACCTGATGCTCTCCCTCAGGCCATACATAGCTCCTCCCCCAAGCTCACCCTGCCCATCTCCCCTACCCCTGCCTCTGCATCTTGGTGGAGCTGGGCCTCGTCTTACTGGGCTTTGGGCTTCCCCAGCGCACTCGCCATGCGGAGAGTCTGGCCAAGACGTTGGAGGAGTACAGAGCGACCACCCAGGTAGCCTGCAGCCTTCCCGCCCTCTGCCCGCTGCCCGGCCCTGCTCTCCTGCCATCTCTGCGTTCGCTGCCTCTTTCTGCCCCTGTCCGTCTTGTGGAGTGTGTGTGTCTCTGGCCTTTTCACTTGTCTTCTGTTCCTTTCTCGCTCTCTCTCTCTCCCTCTATCTCGCACCCTGTGTATCTCCACCTCCGGTCCATTTTCATTCTCTGTGGGGGTCTTGTCAATGCATTTCCCCTGCCCATCTCTCTGTGTGTCTGCCTTTCTTTGATTTAGTCTGTCTGTCTCCAGGGGTGACTCTACCCTCCGTTGGTCCCTGATCATTAGGCTTCTCCTGCCCCTCGCATGTCTTTGCCTCTCTGTGAGTCTGTGTCCGTCAATGTCTCTTATTTTTAGTTTCCCGGGCTGCTGGCTTACCTTCTCTGTTCCTGCTGCTCTCTGTCTCTCTTTGGCTTCCTAAGTTTCTGTCACTGCTTTCTTCCTCTTGTCCCTTGGCAATATATGTCTGGAGGAGCCCAAAGAAGTCAGGGGAGTGGAATTGACTGTAAAAGGAGCCCAAGGCCGGGAGATAGAGAAGAACAGAAAGACAGGGGTCCCCCACTCCCTCCTTTGCAGGAACTGAGGCTGGAAATCTCACATCTGGAGGAGCAGCTGAGTCAGACCCATGAGGGGCCGGATGAGTGAGTGGAACATCAGGGGTAAAGGAGGCAGGAGGGGAGCCCACAGGCAGGGGGCCCCCAACCTCCAGCCACAGGGTGGGCAGAGCAGCCACCTCAGAGTGGGTGGACTGACCCGTAGGGGCAGGCGCAGAGAGAGCCGCCCTTTCTTGACCATGTGGCCAGGCTACTGGAAGGGGCCCAGGAGAGAAGAGTGGGCTGGACCAGGCTGCTGCCCCCGTCACTGGGCGTGGAGATCGAGGCCATTCGGCAGGTAGGCCTGGCTCCTCGGGAACATCCCAGCCCCCTGCCGGCCACAGCTCTGACACAGCCCTGATTCTCACCCACCCCATCTCCCCCCAGGACCATCTCAGTCCTTTACCTCATTCCTACCCCAATCCTTGGTCCTGCTGCCAAACCCTTCCCAGGTCTTGCCTCCACCTGCTCCCCAGCCCAGCCTCACCCCCGCCACACAGCCCCCCACCCGACTCCTCCTACCCCATGCCTCAGCATGTGTCCATCCCCATCTCTGACCCATCTTCTGCCTTCACCTGGCCCTCCTGACCTCAGAAACAGCTTCTCCTCTCCCAGAAACAAGAAGTGGCAGCCGCTGCTCTCTCCAGCCCTCTGTGTGGAGTGTGGCAGTGGGAGGAAGTCATCATTGAGACGGATGAGGAAGTGGAGTTTCTGCCTGAAGCCCCGGCTGGGACACTGGTGAGCATGGGTGGGGGGGCTCTGAAACCGCCAGAGTCCGGGAGCTGGAAGAGGGGCCTGGGACTCCCATGTGCCACGAGCTTGCTGCCCATTCCATGGGCAAACATTGACCAAGGGCCTTCTGGACACAGGCCCGAGCCAGGCAGGACACCATCCCTGCCCTCTGGGGACTGGCCCCCCAGGGGAGTAGACAAGAGCAAACAAAGCGAATGCAAACTGCACAGTGGTAGTTTTGTCGTTGAGAAAGCACTGTCAGGAAGCCCTGCGTTTACAATGGTCCTGCTGGGGGGGAAGTCACAAAGTGAATCGTTCCTCCGGATACCGTAAAGATATATTAAGCTTTTACTTTGGGGATAGAAGGCACCGTAAGAACAGCTTAGCAAGCCCATGTGGAAATCTTGAACTCAGCCATGGCGGTTGTTTTATGACTTCTGTAATTACCTGAGCAGTATTTCCACATCCTTCGAAACAACCGAGACAACTCATCTTCAATGTCCACAACAGAAAAGTGAGATTTTAATCTATTAGTGCCAGAAGTCTGTCTGTCTGTCTTTTTTTTTTAAAGGAAATATTGCTAACAACTCTGTAACTGTGTTGTCTTGAAAATAAGACTGCTTCAGAATTATACTGTTCACCATCCTTAAAGGAGAAACTCATTTCTTTGCTCACTTTCTCCCTGGGTTGAGAGAAGCTTTTGCATTTCCCTTCAATGCCTGTGCTGTTTGGTTTCTTTTTTAAAGATTTGTTTATTTATTTGAGAGAGAGAGAGAGCTCGTGTGAGCGCAAGTTGGGGGAGAAGGAGAGGGAGAGGGAGAAACAGTCTCAAGCAGGCTCCACACTGAGCACGGAGCCAACAGGGGACTTCATCTCACCACCCTGAGATCATGACCTGAGGAGAAACCAGGAGTCAGATGCTTAACAGCTTAACCAACTGAGCCACCCATGCACCCCTGATTTTTCATTTACCTCCCCCAGTATCTCTGCAAGGTAGGTATCCTCACCCCTCATCCTGTTACCCATGGGAAACTGAGGCTCAGAGAGGTCACACGTTCCCAGTCACGTAGCCTATGGGTGGCAGAGTCACATCCTTCTGAGGAGGTGTGAGTCAGAGTGAATTCCTCTGGGGGCTCTTTACACCCCATCTAAAGGAGCACTGATCCAGGCCTCAGGGTGCTACCAGCTCTGGGTCCTAGAATTAAGGTGCAAAGCTGCTCGGGGCCTGGTGGGAAGATCATGCGAATGGGCCATCCCCATGCAGGGTGATGGGTGTGCAGAGGTGGGGGCCAGGCCCTGAGGGAGCCCAGCAAAGGGGAGACCTGTGTCAGGTAGGAGACTGGAGAGGTGTCGCTGGGAAACCGACACTTGAGTTTATTTCGGAGAAGAGAGAGAAGTTGAGCGGTGTCAGGAGAGAGAAGCCTTCCTGGCAGGGGAAAGCACACACATGAGGATGTGGGGCATGAAAGCATAGAACACGGTTGGGCAGCAGAGGGAGTGGCGGGAGGCTGGGGAGCCATGGGGCCTGATCACAACAGGAATTACCTGTAAATCAAGCAAAGAGATTGTACTTTTCTCCATCGAGTCCCAGGATGACTGGGGGCAGGGAGTGGGTGTGGTCAACTCTCAATATAGAAAGATCCCTCTAGAAAGATCCCTGGTGGGGGCGGGGGAGTGGGGAGCCTATAGGGAGAGCATGGGGACTGACTAGAGGCAGGGAGGCCAGGAAGGAGGCTGGGGCAAGAGTACAGAAGATAAAGCCTGAGGCAGGCCAGGGCCTTGGGATAGAGGAAGAGGGATGGGCAGAGAGAAGTGGGGTAGGAGAGATGGGGCTGGGGGTCTGGGATGCTAGGAAGGGAGAAGACAGAGAGACATCAAACTTACCTTGCAGGGACACCTGGGTGGCTTAGTGGGTTGGGCATCTGCCTTCAGCTCAGGTCACGATCCCAGGGTCCTGGGATCGAGTCCCACATCAGGCTCCCTGCTCAGCAGGGAGTCTGCTTCTCCCTCTTCCCCTCCTCCTGCTCGTGCTCATTCTCCCTCTCTGACAAATAAATAAAGTCTTAAAAAAAAAAAACAACTTACCTTGCAGCCTAGTGAGATGGGATTCTGAGGGACGGCCAGGGAACTACCTGGGGTCAGTGGGTGCACAAGCCTGGAGCTCAGGGATGTATTTAGGAAACAGTGTCAGGTTGGCGAATGAGGCTGCAGGGAAGGAGGAGAAACTAGGACCTGGGTCCTGAGAGAGAACAGCTGGGCGGGAGGGGGGGGGCTGCCCCCAGACCAGGAACCTGGGAGGAGAAGGGGATGCAGGAAGGAAATGCGGGGCTTCCTTTCGGTCCACGTGAGTAAGAGAAGCTCGTGGGAGTGTGAGAGGTTTGGGGGACCTGGAGTCCTGGGTGCTGAGGAGAAAGGAGTCTGGCTTCTATGCCTGAGGGGGATGTAGAGCTAGGCCCCCCCACCCAGGGAGGGAGGCCAAGAGGAGGGCAGGTTTTAGCAGCAGGTGGGTAATTCTTGCAGGGGTCACAGCCCAGGAGACTTACCCTTGCCTTTTCCCACAGAGACACTTGCAGGGAGAGCTAGCACACCTTCAGGGAGGAAGGAAGGAGCGATCAATGTGGTAAGAAGCTTGTTCCTTCCAGAGCCATCCCCCTGGCTTGGGGTGACACCACATTCTTGGACATTGTGCAAAAACTGGAAAAGCCCTGGGGGGAGTTGCACCTCATTCCCTCCTTCATTCATTCATTCCCTCCCCCCGAAGTGACCCTTGGCCTGTGAACCAGGATGAGCCACCCCCAGCCCTGCCTTCAGCATCTCCTGGTCTAGAGGGAGACAGACTCTGACCCATCCTATTCTGGGAGGACATCTGGCACTTCGAGCCAACTGGGGGAAGGCTTCCTGGGGACATGATGCTTGAATGGGGTCCCATAGGAGCAGTACTCATATAGGAGACTCTTAGACAAGAAGACAGTTGTCTGGCTGATGGGACAGCTCAGTCACTGGGTCACTGTCACTGAACATACCTCTCCCAAGGCCTCCAAGGAATCCTGGGATGAAGGAAACCCAGACTGGCCCAGGGAGAACACCCAGGTAGTTAAGAGATAGTCGGCGACTCCGGAATCAGACAGCCTGGGTTCAAATCCCGTGATGGGGTGCTGTAAGCATTACTGTCCAGAGCCGCAGACCTGTGATTGTTAGGAAGCTCAGCGGCAGGCCTCTGGGGAGAGATAAAGCACGAGATGTCTGGGCCTATCCTCCTCAGGCCTGGCCTTGGGGCCTGTGGTTTATCTCCTATGGAAACCTGTGGTTTCCTATGCTGCCTCCCGCTGCACCCCCCTTCAGGCTCTTGGCTGCAACAACTAATGAGCCGCCTGCCACTGGCCTCTAATTGGACTTGTCTGAGAAAGCTGAGATTGGGCAGGAGGGGGGCTCTGGGGGTATGACCCCCCCCACCCTGCATCACCAGGGAAGGGAAGAGAGAAGGGGCTGAGCAGTGGCGGGGTGGGGGCTGGACATTTGAATTTCCCAGGAGCAGGGCAGTGTGACCCACAGCCTGGGAAGCTGGAAGCTGGAAGCAAAGGAGGTGAAACCCATGGCCCCTAAAGCTGACCGGGGTGAGGGCTTGGACCTTGAGAGGTGCTGGGGGAGGAGCCCCCAGGGGCCCAAGTGGCCATCCCAGGAGATGAGACAGCTGTGTGTCTGACGGGGCAGAGGCTGGGGGCTTACCAGCCAAGATGCCTGTTCGTCTCCTAGTTGAAGACACAGCTGTGTCCTGAGGGTGTCAAGGTGGCGGCAGCTGGAGGGCTGGACCCTGGTCCCCAGTGAAGGTGGTAGCCTGTGGTATGGACGTCCAGGTCTCCAAGAGGCATCTGCGTTGCCCAGCTTGAGGTCTGAGTCCCAGAGGGGTATTTCAGGGGCTCGGGCAGCTGCAACCCTCAGAGGGGCAGAAGCTGAGGGCTTGCCCACTGAAGAGAAATGATTTGTGGGGGAACTTGCTCACAGAGTTGGCTTCTGGAATCTCTGTCCTAAAGGAAGACCCAGTAAGACTGACACTCACTGAAAGCGGCACAACCCCACAGGCACGAAGTGGCTGCCCAGAGTCTCCGCTCCGAGTCTCTGGTGTTTGGGAGAGTAAGAGAGCAGAAGCCTCAGCTCCCAGCTGTAGCATCAGATAGTGGAAGAAAAAAATCAAAAGAGCCTCTTACCCTTTGGGGGGGTCACACACTCTTTTGAGAGCTTGTTGACAATTCCCCTGCCAAATATGCACAACAGACTTACGCCCAGCAGCTTGCTCATGGGGCTCCAGGACACCCCCAGGCCCATCCGTGATGCCCAGTCCCCACTAAGACCCCTGGTTTAAAGGCTCATCCAGCCCCACAGTGGGCGAATGGGAGCCAGGCCGAAGCAAGATGCTTGCAGTGACTGTTGTCCCCCCAGGTTGCCCAGAAGAGAGAAAGAGGAGGAAGCAGCGCCCCAGATCATGGTAGGCAGTCCCCAGCACCCCCTCCCAGTCCCCACCCACTCCGGGGCCTTGAGGAGGGCGACACAGTGGCAGCTCTTCCCAGCCCTCACCCACGCCCCCTCTTCTCCCCAGCAGACAGAAAAATCATTTGGCCGAGAGATAACAAGGCCCTTGCTATAGCTAATGAGAGCGGACAGCGCCGTAGGGGGAGGCCTGCGGGCCAGTGGGCGGCCAGAATGTTCCCGGGGGACCCCCCAAGCACACACAAAGGGACGCGGAGGCTAAGCCTCAGGCCTCACAGACGTGGCTACACCCCCGGAATGCGAAAATGCACACGCACATGCGCCCACGCACAGGAAGGGGCTGGGCCCGCCCCAGCCAGCCCCAGAACTCCCTGGGGCACAGCGCCTGTCACAGCCCCCCCGCCTGGCACCACTCACACCAGCTGCTGTGCTCCTCGAAGCCACAAGGCGTGGTGCAGGTGCCCGTCCCCATTCTCGGGCAGGGATAGGAAGGGAAGCTCGGGGAGGAGAGGCAGGGAGCCCGGGGTCCTCAGGGTAGGAATATGAGAGCCCAAACGTGTGCCAGGCATCTGGGCCCCTTTGGGGTCCAAACCCCCCAAAAGGGGGTCTCTGAGTAGCCTGACCCCAAAGCCTACCTACCCCTTCCCTCCACGGAGATGGGACCCCACCTCAGTTTCCTCGCAGCTGACTTGATGGATGATCTCTCCCGAGCTGTTGGCATCAGAGCTGGGAACCCAACCCTGTGGGGTGCCACACTTCACTCCACCCCCTTCCATGTGGTCACTTCTGTCCAGTGGCTTGAACCAAGGGCCTCTCCCAATCCAGGACCCAGTCTCAAGTTTGTTTCCTTTGTCCCTCCAGGCCAATCTCCCCAGCCCTCTGGGGGACCCGCATCCTGGAGATGTTCTGGAAAGCCCTCCTGAGAGGTAACAGGACCCACCGGGACTGGAAGGGGCCTGGAGGCGGAGGAAAAGGTCAGCGTGATTGCCTCGCCCTCCTTTCTGTCCAGCAGCCCCACCGAGCCCGAGCCGCAGCAAGCATTGGTGCCTGTGCCCAGAGAGCTGGTCCCAGTCAGGAGACCAGACTGGGGCCAGCTCTGCCTGCCCTCCCTGCAGCCTGAGCCACTCAGGTGCGCCCCGAGGCATCTCCAGAATGAGAGTGGCCGGCACACGCTGGGGTACTGCCCCCTGTTGAGACAGCCCCAGCAGCCCCCTGCCCTGGGGCCTTCCCTGAGCACTGGGCTGCCTCCCACCAGGATCACTCGGCCCCCGCTGATCCCGGCCCCCGTCCTGGGCCTGCTGCTGCTGCTGCTGCTGTCCGTCCTGCTGCTGGGCCAGTCCCCGCCACCCACCTGGCCCCACCTCCAACTCTGCTACCTCCAGCCCCCCCCCAGTGTGAGCCGCTCAGAGCAAGGTCTAGTCAGAGAATTCCCGGGGAATCCTACTGTTATTACCATTGTTGTGCCGTTAGCTGGGAGGGCTCCGGTTCGGGGACCCTAGATACAGTGCTCCAGGATCCGCACCCCTGTGTTGAGTTTTTATGTGAAGTTTTTTGGTTTTGTAACACTGGTGACTACATTTCTGAGCAATAGCAAAACACACCCAACAATGGGTTAAATACTAGGGGTTTATCTTCCTCCTAAAACAAGTCTGGAGGAGGGCAGCTATGAGCCCACAGCTCAGTCTCCACAGCCTGGGGCATGAGGGAACGATGATTCCCTGTGCTCCTCTCAGCCCTTTCCTCTTGCTCGGGAGCCGGCGGGTGTGGCTTCATACATCACATCTGTCGGAAGAAGGGGATTTGTCCCTTCCTTTCTTTATAAAGAAAAGACGTGGCCTTCCCAGAGCCAGCAGCAGACCTGTGTTCATGTCTCATTGGCCAGAAGTGTTTGCTATGACCCTCCTAGCTGCAAGAGAGGCTGGGAAACTGAACTCCTCTCCCCTCTCCTGGCAGAAAGAGGGAAAGAGACACATGGGCCGGGCACACATCACAGATGTCCCCTGCAGGGCAAACAATCGGCAGGAAATGGACCAGTGTGCCACTAGCTTTCTCATCACTTACTGTTCATTCATGTGCTGCGATTAGACCTTAGAAGATAAAGCCGTGGGGGCGTCTGGGTGGCTCAGTCCATTAAGCATCTGACTTGGGCTCAGGTCATGATCTCGGGGTCCTGGGATGGAGCACTGCAAGGTCTTCCCACTCAGGAGGGAGTCTCCTTGTCCCTCTGCCCCTCACCCACTCATGCTTGTATGCTCTCTCTCTCTCTCAAATAAAATTTTTCAAAAATTCATTAAGTTATTTGTTAAAGGAAGATAAAGCTGTAGAAAAACAGGCCCTCCAATGCCAGGCTGAAGAGCCCTGGTTTTCTCCTGAGGATGATGGGAGATTTCAGAGATTTTATTGCTTTTGTTGTTGTTGTTGTTGTTATTTATGCTTTAATTGAGACACAACTTGCATACAGATAAATGGATATGCTCGCTTCAGTGCATACACTAAAAATGGAACCATACAGATAAATGGGCAAATCTTAAGTATCAGGTGCATGAGTTTTCACATACGCAAACAACCACAAAACCAAAACCCGGATCAAGATATGAACAATTTCAGCACCACAGAGGGTTCCTTGGGAGAGTTTTGAGCAAGGGAGGGTCAGAGTCACCCCTATTTAAAGGCAGATGGTGGGGGAGCCTGGGTAGCTCAGTGGGTTGAGTCTCTGCCTTTGGCTCAGGTTATGATCTCATGATCTCATGATCTCAGGGTCCTGAGATCGAGCCCTGCATGGGGCTCTCTGCTCAGCAGGGAGCCTGCTTCCCCCTCTCTCTCTGCCTGCCTCTCTACCTACATGTGATCTCTTTCTCTCTGTCAAATAAATAAAATAAAATCTTAAAAAAATAAAGGCAGTTAGTGATAGAGGTAGCTGTAGGTTCCATAGAAACCCAGAAAATGCACTTAACCTGTCCTGGAAGGATAGGGATTTTGTCCCTATTAGGTAACATCTGGGTGCAGTCTTGAAATATGAGTAAAGTTTGTTACATTGAGCAGGGACCAAAGGAGGGTGTCATGGGCAGAGAGAATAGTGTGTGTGTGTGTGTGTGTGTGTGTGTGTGTGTGTGTGTGTGTGAAGACCAATTGGTGGGAAAGCACCTCTGTGGGCAGAGAGCCATAGAAACCACCATGCTGCTGGGATTAAAAGAAAAGAGGAGGATTGGGGCAAGGAGGATTGGGAAGAGAGCTTCTGAGCCTGCATGGGGGATGAATATGAAAGGAGGCAGGAGGTGGGGAAAAGGCTGGGGCTTGGTCCAGGTGGGAGAGGATGAGGCTTGAGCTGAGCTGGGCATGTGGCTGGGAAGAAGAGGAAGGGCAGAGAGAGGCAGGGCAGGGAGGAGAGAGCCAGAGACTGATGGCTGTGAAGGAGGGTGCTGAAGGAAGGGGCAAGGACAGCACGTCGATCTGACCCAGTGACTGGTTCCAAAATGGGAACCCATGAGAAGGAGTAGGTTTGGGGGAACACCAAGCTCATATGAGATGGGGTGAATGTCAGTGTTCCAATAAGTGGCCAGATTTCTGAGGCTTGAGCCCACAGTCTGGAGATGGGGTTCTGCCTGTTGGGAATTGCTGAGATTTCCCGGGGAGAGGTGAGTAGAGTGGAGGAGGAAGGGCTTCCAGGCACCATTTTATGAAAAGTCTCGAACATACAGAAGACATCTAGGGAGGAAATATGGGAGGAGTTCAGGCAAAGACCCAGCTAGCAGGCCCTCCAGCCAAAAGCCAATGAAGCTCCTCACGAGGTTGTTGTGAGCCTGGCTCAGAGAGCCAAGAGGAGTGCAAGATTTAGACGGGGGCCTGGCATCTGGTAACTGCTCCTAACTTTACTCCCATTTCTCCAGGAGAGTAATGGCAAGGTCTAGACTAGAAGTCACACAGATCTGCGTTCCAGTTACCCTTTTGTCCTTTACTGGCGCCGGCAACTTGGGGAAATTACTCTTGACTTTCAGAGTCTTATGAAATTTGGTCAACTCCAGATGGTGTTGAGGAATAGAGTTATTCCTTCATGATTCAGTATTTCTGAGTGAGAGAAGCAGGCCCACCCCTACAGCCTAAGGGCCAATTAGGGCGCGGTCCGCCTCCCAGACAGACAACCCACACGAGGGCTTGCCACTCACCCAGCGCCAGCCCCGCCCCCTTCCCGCGAGCCCACGCGCCCAGCCCCGCCCTCTTCTCTAGACGAATCAGCGTTCGATCCGCACGAGCCGCGCCCAGGGCGCGCTCTTTGGAGCCCTCTGCGTACCCCTCGGAGCGGGTTGCCATGGTCACCATTGAGCTTTGGGACTGAAGGCCTGGCGGGAGCAGCCAGT